GTCCTGTGCCCCCTGCTCTGGGTGAGCCTGCTTGGGCAGGGGGGTGGCACTGGGGGAGCTCCCGAGGGCCCTTCCAACCCCTGCCATTCTGTGTGATTCTGTGGTCTTTAGTTCCTCAAACTGCTCTAAATGCACTTATTATTAGGCATGCGTGAGCCTCAATGTTGGCTTCCCCCCTTGAGAAGGCAGGTCGCCGCCGCCACGAAGCCTCAGCGCATTTTGGCAGGATGCAGAAGGCAGCGAGAGCTCAGGAGCAGGACTTGGAAACGCACCGCAACCAGCCATCGCCTTTACTTGGGAGCTGTTCCCCCGCTCCCAAGGCCGTTAATGCACTGAAGCCATCGTGAAAGCCTTGCAACCTTTTGATGGATTGATTCTATCCCTCTCGAAGAGTGTGTTTATTGTTACAGTTAATCTCCTAAAACTTTCTCAGCATGTTTCAGCGAAGAACGATTCTGCACTGGAAGGCAAAGAGACAGAATGATGAAGCACAGCCTTTTCACATCTTTCTGGGGGGATTCTGATTGTAAATCTTAGATTATTGAATAAACTTCCAGGAATCTGTATCTCAGCGAGTATAATTATATCTAGCAAAGCATCCAGTGTAACCGATAGGCTGGAGCCTTCTATTAGAGAATTCCAGCCAGACTTTTTATAGTTTAAATTCGAGTACAAACTCACGCTGTTCTGATGGAACGGGGCTTTCTCCAACAGCGGACTGGAAATTATGCTTCTATGTTAAGAGGAGTGGAAAAACTTGCACCATCCCGGCATTCACAGCTGATGAGCTTCCCAAATTATGAGGAAGTGACATTGCTGGATAAAAGTCATATTCTTCTTACACCGCGCGACAGTTCGCCACCCTCCCGTAACTGGAAGCTTAACATTCTTGTAAAATACACAGTGCAGTATTATGTGACTGCTCTGGTAATAAAATTACTGTGAAACCAGTGCCTCAAGGGGAAATGCACATCATGTTTCTCCTGGAAAAGCTGCATGTCACAGTGCATAATGTCATACAAACAACATGTCATTAGAAGCGAAAGCAGCAAGCGGGATTAATGCACGCGTCAGATGGCTACGATAGCCTCCTACAGCATATGCTGAAGGCGCCCCGTCTCAGGAGCTGGTTGCTTCGACACCGCGCGGCTTCAGACCTTGGAATATAAAGAGCCAGCACTCAGCAGACGGTAACGCACCGCCGATGCCACCCTCGAGCCCCTTGCAAGGCTTTGCTCCTGCTGCCTTTCCGAGCCGCCCGACCTTGGGGGAACGTGGCTCATCTCTCCGAGCCCTGCTCCCCGTGCTCTGTGTCCCCGCGGGGGGGACGGCACGGCAGGGCCATGCCAACCCGCTCCCCGTCACCTCGCCCGGGGACCGGGATGGAGGCGCATCGGCTCCCGGCTGGGCCGGCTCCAACGGCTTTCTCAGGAAAATCAGGGAAAAGACAGTGCGTGCCCAGACTTCAGGGGAGGTTCTCTGGGTTAGGAGGAGAATAGGACTTGGGTCCAGATCCAAGACATACTTTTGCAGCCCTCAGTTCAGACACAGCTTGACTACTTGTTGAATATTTACAGCTGCTAAAAAAAATCTGCACCTTTGTATTGCTGCTCTTCTGATTCAGGCGCTTGGGTTTTTCAGGGGATGAAATCCAGATGAAAATCTGGATGTGTTTTTTACATGGGAAATTTAGGCACTCTCCTGGGCGGCACAGGGGCATTCGCGCTCCTACCCGTTTACGTCCCTCTGCACGATTTTCCGTCCCTAAACGTTACCTGCAAGGCTGCTGCGTAACTGGTGTGAAGATGGCTGAATTAAATTTGACTCTAGGAGACTTATCCTGAGGGAGAAGGAGAGCGATTTCCCCGCATCCCGCGCACGGAAGCAGCAAGAGGTTCCGAAGGAAGAGCTCTCCACAGCACGGCAAGATTGAGCACCGAAATGCTATCCCGAAATGGGATATGGTTTTTTCTCAGACAGTGACAAATTACGAAGCGACTGTGTTTAGTTTCTTCTTTGTTCGGAGCCCCTGAAAAATCTGATGCCCATGTGTTAATGTTTGAACCCACCCTCCATTCTTACTGCATTAGTCCTGCTCGCAGTCATTCAATACGGAATCACGTGGGTAATCCGAAACATGTGTCCAGCGATGTGTTCCCTATTTACCAATTATTTCATTAGCTTTATTTGCTCTTTGAGAGACAGGCAAAGCAATATTTCTGTATTTCCTGGATTTAAGTACGAACCGGTATTTGCCGAATATTTAAGTATGCAGAGGTATGCTCTTAATTTACAGAGTCACCCTCAGCGACGTCAGAGGCGGCTCTCCCCCGTACAGGGACCCGCCGCCACCGCCACTTCCGCCATGCCATGTGGAAACCCAGCGAAAAACCAAAGGGGACGATGTCGTGATACAGAACTATCACCCCCCACGGCCCCGCGGGCGATTACAGCACTAACGACGACAGAATCAGGTGTCAAAACCAGAGGGATCAGGCACTTAGCTGGTGCAGCGTCTTCCACGCAAACGCTGAAGCCAAGCGCTCTGCTGTAATCGTATTTAAGTCACAAAAAGGAGTAAAATGCGTAAGCCAAGGAGGCAAAGGTCAGCTACGATGCACTTGCTTCCCTGAAATTCTTGCTATCTCTCTGCACCTACTCAACTAAGAAGCCGGTCCTTCCGCACGCTGCCATGTACCATCAAATAACCACCCCCACCACCCCCCGCCCTTGGTTTCAGCTCTTCTGCGTGACTGCAGCGGACGCGAGGGGGGACAGGAGGGAAGGGGGGAGCCCCGGGCGGCAGCCGCAGCGCCCGACCTCAACTCACCCATGATACTGTCCGTCCCGTTGGCAGGGGGTGTGCAAGAAGACGCGCTGTAATGGTTTGTGCCACTGCGGTGGAAGGTGGACATCGGAGGAAGACTGGAATTGATGTCTGCTGAGGAGTGTGATGGGTAGCTCTGAGGCAAAAAGGACAAAAGGAACAAAAAAGGAAATATTTTAACTGTTGAGAACATGGAAGGCAGCAGGCTGCTCATATTGCCCCCATCCCAAGTGCTGTCCTACTTCACCCGACCGAGAAAAGCAGAACGCTGCCCTAAGCCTAAGCAGGGAGCGTGTTTTTCTATCCTGACTTCTTCTGGAGGAGACACAGCACACGCCTGTCTGACACAGATAAATATCCACAGTGGATGGCTCGTAGCTGATGATGGTACCATAGAGGTGTAATGAGAAGGAGTTAAGAAAGAAAAGTTAGGTGCTGTATCAAGCAAAGCTTTCTGAGAGGGACAGCTACAGGTTGGAGGAGAAGGCTTCCGAGGGAATCATAGAATGTTTTGGGTTGGAAGGGACCCCTAGAGGTCATCTAGTCCAACCCCCTCGCAGGAGCAGGGACACCGCTAACCAGATCAGGCTGCTCAGAGCCCCGTCCAACCTGGCCTTGAATGTTTCCAGGGATGGGGCCTCCACCCCCTCTCTGGGCAACCTGTTCCAGTGTTTCACCACCCTCATTGTAAAGAACTTCTTCCTTATATCTAGTCTAAACCTACCCTGGTTTAGTTTAAAACCATTACCCCTTGTGTTGTCACTGCTGGCTCTACTAAAAAGGTTTTCCCCATCACTAAAAAGATTTTCCCCATCAGAAGCGGCACAAACCCTACACTGCTTTTGACGTTAAAAACAAGATCTGACCACAAGGGGTGCGCGGCTGGTGTTACAGAACGTGCCATAAGGGAACACACCAGCACCCCAGGTAACCAACTGGATCAATTGGAAAGGTTCAACCAGATGATCCTTGAGGTCCCTTCCAACCTGGTATTCCACCATTCTATGAATCTGCCCTCCCACTGCAGTGCCTGTGCGACAGGCGATCAGAAACGCGACGGATCGCCTTCTCCAAACAAGCGTGGGACAAGCATCTGGGCAGCACGCAGAAGACTTCGGATCAACACAAGCCTTCCTTGCTGTGACACGACATTGCTGTGGTCAAAATGTTTTGCTGACTTTGCGTTACTCTCAACCTGGCTTACATTAGCGCCGTTTGTCACTGTTGAATAGTCTTGCCTTGATCAGCGTGAGACACTGGGTGCAGACAGGACCTGGACAAGCTTTTGGCTCTATCGCAGCGCTGCCCCCAGCGGAGAAGAGGTCCTGCAGAAGACCTCTAGGTTTTGGAGACTCTGATACAAAGCCTCCTTAGGAACATGGGCAGCCAGAGGCACGCGGCAGTACCTGGCCCGGGATGAAGGCACTGAAGTTAGCGCAAGATCATCTCTGCGCCCTCTGCCTCCCCGCGGGGTTCCGAGTAAAGCTGGCTGAAAGCATCCTTCCCTTCACTTGTCCTATTTAATTACTTTTACAGGATTTCTTGTAATTAAGTGCCAAGTAACTGAATACTTGAAAGTTATCTCAAAGAATGTAAACAACTTCGCCCAAACCTATTTTCCGTACCCATGGAAAAACGACCATCACAACTCTGAGCTCTGAACATTTTCAGGCTTTGACTCATTATAAACCACTCCAGGACCTCAGCCCCAAACCCAACTGGCTGAAACGGTGCAGCTGAACAGAATTTCTCAGGCGATGAAGAAAGGAGTAAACGAGGCGAGCTGAGGTCACCGGTCTGCACAGGAGTAAGCCGGACTCTTTGCAGTGGTGCCCAGCACCAGGACAAGGGGCCTTGGGCACAAACTGAAGCAGAAGAGGTTCCAGTTGGACGGGAGGAAGAACTTGTTGACTGTGAGGGTGAGGAGCCCTGGCCCAGGCTGCCCAGGGGGGCTGTGGAGTCTCCTTCTCTGGAGATCTTCAACAGCCTGGACGCTGTCCTGTGCCCCTCTGGGTGAGCCTGCTTGGGCAGGGGGGTGGCACTGGGGGAGCTCCCGAGGGCCCTTCCCTTGCCATGCTGGGATTCTGGGATTCTGTGTGACTCCATCTCCCCAGCTAAGCAGTTCTTCTGTGACTCGCATCCAAGCACTGGTTCAGGGTTTTCCCCTTTCTCGGGGGGAGGCATCAAACCACTATGGCCAAACATTTCAGGAAAAACATGGGATCTGAATACAGCTTAGTGAAGTTCTCTGTATTCAGTGCATCTATTTAGAAAATCACTGCTAACGCCTGAGAAAGTAAAAATAATAACCAGCCCCTTTTCTTTCGCTATGTGGATTTTTTCGACAGGTCACTGGGAAGCTGAGGCCATTTGCAGGGCACTGCGCTGAAATCCCTCAGGGCTCGCGGATGCTCCAGCCGCCCACCAAGGCCTGGCCTCTCCCTCGATGCTCCAGCAGAAACTGGGCAGAGTTTATTTAAAGTATCGCTGCCTCCCTCCTGCCCCAGCGCTGCCTAAGCCATGGACGGCTCTGCCAGTCCGGGCAGACACCACAAATGATCAGTACGAGCATCGTCGGCGCCGAGCACCTCCAACACGGAACCTGTATCACTGACCCTCGCTACCTCTGAAATTTAGGATAAATATTGTAATATCTACATAAAAAAAAAAACCAAAAAAACATTTTGGGGGAGTTTAGGTGGAATATCCCTACCCATTTCACACAGGAACATTTTGGCTCTTCATAAAAACCCCTACGTGTTGCAGACCGAAGGAATTCGGACTCAAGGTAGACTTCAGTGCGAAGACGTTTGCAGCCTTGCCCCACGAAGGCACTTCTTACCTCTCCCCGAGCCGATACCATGAAAAGCCACCTAATTCTGATGAATGAGTGCCGGTGTAGATAACAAATCAGATTAAATTGGGTTTTAAAAGTTATGCTCAATTTTTATTATATATGCTTGTCACTTCAGAGCAACGTTAAGTTTGCTTAGCGCCTTAATTACGCCTTTTATAAGGACATGATTAAGCAGTTTTTGAGGCAATTTCTTTTGCTTTTGACTTCCTATTAATTTTACAGAGCAGTGTGCTAACCTCATTAAACGTGAGACTTTAAAAGATTTGTTTTGCAAATTAATTTTCAGTTTGCAAGAGTGAGTTTAATTCTTCTTATGCCCCGAAAGGCGGCTCTGCAAGGCTCTACAGCAGCAGGGCTCCTTCCTCCCCCGAAATCACTGCTCCTCCCTACCCCTCCTTTTGAACGGCCTGCCCAGATGAGGAGCGGAGGCACAGAACAGAGAATCCTTACGGGCAAGGTTTCACACACTTTGAGAAGAACGACTTCGCTTCAGCTGTCAGATCTTCTCTTTACCTCTTCCTTAAAAACAAAGCCCCAAAAATGGAATCGATGGACTCCAGTGTTATTTCTGCATAATCAGCCGCGATATTAGGAGAATATCCCCTAAGCTGTCCTCAGATCAGACCGAATTCCCATTTTATCCCATTCCAATACAATAGATGGAATCGGTCCCGGCAACTTCCTCTTGCGGGAGATCAGGATGTACCAGAGAAAATAAAAAACCCTTCCTTTTTGAAAGCAGAAAATCGATGCTAGATAGTTATCTGTGAACTCAGAGCAGCAAAGGACACCGACTGCTGTAAATTATAATCACCAGCAAGCAGAGGCGCGGGCAGCTCGCCGGCAGG